CGGTTCTGGGTTCGAATCCCAGAACACTCCATGGATTTTTAATTGAAAATAATAGAAAAATGTTGTATTACGGTTTCACCACTCTTCCGAGACACTCCTTGGGTTGTTAGAAATTAAGCCATCCTTTACCTCAAGAAATGTTTTACTTTACTTCACTTAAGTCACTTATTTCTATTTATGTTTATTTTTACTTATTATAATAGACTGTATAATGAAAAGACTGTTGAGTTGAAATGTGAATATCAGAGGTTAATCGCCGTAAGAAAAATCTTAGGATAATTTTACGGACTAAAGCCAAAAATGGCAAGTTGACAATAGGAAAAAATCAATCAAAATCATCATCCCCTGCTGATTTTCGATTTATATAAGCTAAAATTTGTGTTAAATATGCATACATAAACACGTACTAATAATACTAATTCCTTAGACCAAAATCAGCAAATACGCAGACCTGAGTGGTCCGAAACTACTTGTATACAAGTTCATCAACTTTCTTTTTCTAAATATTGAGTAATAATGTCGTTGTTTATATCAATAACATTTAAGATAAGTAATGATAAGTAATAATTTTTCACTAAAACAATCTGAGTAAAGACACTATTTCATAAAAGTAGAAAATTGTGTTATGTTTCAATAAATATATTTGTCTAAAAGGTTACATGATAAAATATTGATATATTTTGAGTAGTTTCCATTCATCGCATTCCAAGTAACATACGTTGAAGTTAACATTTAAATTTTTAAATTTTCGTTATATCTACAAAACTTCGTTGATTTTTTTAATTTAGCAAAGAAAGGATAGATATAAAAAAATATTTTTTCTCCCAAAGCCCCTGTGGAACGGCGTGAAAGTATTTAATAAGAAACAATCAAGCTTTGAGGGGATAAATTGGAATTTTAATTGAAGTGCAAAGATGAAATTATGATTGATGATATGGGCGAACCGTCACAAAGGCGTTTAATAACAGCCCTAAGCTTGGATATTTAATTTTAAAAGATTGCTGTTTGAAAAATTGTTTTTAACTTTTTTCCCGTTTCCGGGGAAAGGAAGTGGCATTCATCACAGCTTTCCTTCTTTTCTTTTTAACGCGATTCAGGGGATTTTTGACTGTGATTGTTATTATTTTCACATTCAGTGCTTCCATACGTTATCGTGATAGTGTCAACGTATAGGGCTTAGAATAATTTATTTATTCACTTGCAACACAATCCAAATTTTCTTCGCTAAATATACACGAACGTATGATTTTTTGTTCTAGATTCTTCATTTCTTAAATGTTAAGTAAACATGTTATATTCAGTTATTTAAAAAACTTTTATGAAATATTCTCCTTTCTTCATCAATAGTTTTTCGACTAAGTACCTTTCAACTATTTCAAATGTGATTTTTTTTTGAGTTGCGGAGAAAGACCTAAATATCGTTAACAAACATAGGTAAAAAAAAGGAAATTTGTGAGCTTCAAGAAGTTAGAACGATTAGTAGCTGCAGTTGAGAACCTATGGCAATTCGGATTTCAAAACCCAAATAATAAATTATTGGGTTGAATGAAAGGTTCCTAACTTCTAAAAACTATTATTTTAAATTACTAACGATGCCAGTTGCAGAGAGTAATTTCAAAAATTCCGAAAAATGATCGATTTTAAACAGTTATTAACTGATGAAAAATACAAAAGAAAAGGAAGATTTAAAAAAGAAGAATTTTGACAAGAAGAAAAAATTGTGAATGATTTTTGTATTCTGCTCCTTCGACAAAAAATGTTTCAACAAAAGTGCTATTTTATTTCTATACGTCTAGGAGAATAAAGAAATATTAAAAATTTGGTGCGTAATTAAAATGTATTTGTATTTTATTGTACGAATTAATTCCAGAGCTGAGGCAAAAAACTAAAAACTTTTAATGTAATTTTTATTATGGTAGCAACTGTTTTTTGGACAAACTGCATTTTGATTAAGTTAGAACCAGTTTTATACAGAAAGAATTCATGAGATTAGAGTTCTTTAAGTACTTTAAATGATTTTTTAAAGTTTCCAATCTTGCCTACTTTGCTTTGATGAGCATCCAATTCTCCATCCCTTACGCATTTTCAAAACTATCTATCATGTGTATTCGTTTTTAAAAACTACCTTTCTGACTAAAGCATCGTCTATCGATTCTCTACTAAAAGGGAAATTGATCTTAATGGCTTAAATTGAGCGGCAAGGAAAATCTCGATCAGAAAATCTTTTCTGGAGAAAAAAATTTATTTTCTCACCTTACAAAACACTTTCTTCCAAAAATGTTCATCATATTGGAACAGTTCTATTTAATTTTCTACAACTACTTATAATTGGCAGATAATTGTAATGAAAACAATATTTTAAATACACCCAGAAGCAAAAAAATTTTATTTTATATATTTAATTTTTTTAATTGAAGTTTCATTATTTAAAAACACTTGCAACCAATGTAGTATATTATCAAATTAGTAAGAAATGAAATTCTGTGTAATAGACTAAATAGATTAGGAGAAAATTTTGCTTAAAATGGCTTATTTTCGAGTTGTCTTCGAACCAATAAATGACCAAAAAACCGCTGAATTGGGTAAAATTTTAAATTTTTACAATTGACTAAAAAAACAGACTGTTCTCAAAATGAAATGTAGATTGCACTTAAATAATTAAAATGATAATATATCGAGTTCAAAAAGTATTAAAAAGGCACAAACAGATGTTCTTCCAAAATATGTTCACTAAGTGGTTGTTATTTTCGTTTTATATTTTCAATCTTAAAAGAAAATCCATTTGCGTTTTAGTGGTCAATTGACCAAGTTACTTCTTTGACTTAATTATTCATTTTATATAAGGTCTTGGTTGAGATAAAAAAATTGAGAGTTACAAGCGGGATTCGAACCCACAACATTTCAAAATGGCAGAAAAAGGGAAAATTCGAACGGTTGTAGGTTGAGATGGAGGGTTGGTGTCCGAGAGGATCGAAATCATGATAGCTCAAGTGGTAGAGCAGCGGCGTATTGAGCCGAAGGTCGTGGGTTCGAATCCTGTTCATGACTCACTTTTTATCTCGACCGATACATTTCATAAAATATTAATTAATTGAAAAATGTTAATTGGTCAATCTGACCACGAACTGTGGGATATAATAATTAAACTGAAGTATATCTTCACGAAAGCTCTCCGTCGTCATTTCATAATTCGCTGAGAATCCAATCTCGATTATACGACTTTTGAAAATGGCAAAAAAGAGGGAAAATTCGAACGGCTGCAGGTTCAGACGGAGAGTTGCTGTCCGAGAGAATCGAAGTCACGATAGCTCAAGATGTAAGCAGCGGCGTATTGAGCCGAAGGTCGTGGGTTCGAATCCCGCTCGTGACGCTGACTTTTTTATCTCAACTAAAAACCTTAATTAATTGAATGATATTAATTGTTCTAGCGGTACACGAAAACTAGTGAATTTACCTTACATAAAAAGAATAGTTAAAATTAAATTTACCATTCAATAAAAACTGCTGAAATATTAAGTTATTAAATATATTTAATATAATTAGTTTATTTATTTAAAACTGTACTGAATAACAAGTATAATATTGATTTATATTTCTTTGTTATACATTCATAAAAGAGTATTTTTCAAAATTTCAAAATCTGTTTCTAAATACCTAGTAAGATAGCTTGTATTTTTAATATTTGTTTTGGTTGAAATAATTATTCTTACATTTCCCAAATAATAATGAAAACACTTAATATTTTAATTACTGTAACTGTTTCGTTGTTGATTTAGATATTTTGTGTTTTATAATGAGTGTAAGACAGGTTGCAAAATTATGAGAATTAACAATATTTGTTATGATTATTAAGCAAGTAGGAATACAGTTTACTATTCCATGAAGATTATAGATGTATTTTTAATTGTTCGATTAACTTTTTTTATTAATGTTTGTCTAGGCAAAGTTCAGAGTAAAGTCTTTTTGTAAAATATATTAGCATCGTGAAAGGCCACAGTGGTCTTGTCTACATCACAAACAGAAACTAATCTACGCTCAAGTAAGTATTTAACATTCATCGTTGCATGTTGCTGAAGTTTGTCCAACAATTTGCCAGGGTTAGAAACCGTGGATTAACATTTACTGCCCAAGAGTGCAGATGCCGTTGGCATAGTAATTTTATTATCCAGGCTTCATGGGTGAGGGATCAACGGAGGATATGACGGGCCTAAAGGGATTAAATAAAAAAGTTGCGACTTCCAAGCGGAAGGAAAATATCGCCAAATTGCCCTCTTGGACCCGTTTTATCTTAGTTCCAAAAGACGTCTAACATGGCTTATTCAATAATCTTACTAATTGTAATTAAGCCGTGATGAATTTTTTTTTAACGCCGCAAGTTTATTCATGCCTTGAAGCCATTATAATACAGCCGTTTTAAGGGGGAAACTGGCGAATTTTTCTTAATCACTCCCAAAAGTATAGCATTTATAAATGGTTTAGACTACCGCAGCAAAGGCTCATTATTGAATATTTAACAAGGTTCCCCTAATGATGAGGTACTTCTTGCAAACCAGACCTTCACAGAAACCCTTCTGGTTTAGGTTTTTCGTTTTATTTTGTTCTTTTATATTAAAATCATTTAACAAGGAAAAAGAAAAGACATCATTGTTTTAATTTCGTCATTACTGATCATTTTACTCCGTCTACATTCGCTGTCTTGGGCAGACAGACGCGTTTCGGTATTTCGCTATCCTTAGTTTGGGTCTGTGCAATTTTTGCAGTCAAGTCTCTTTTATAAATGTTTAAAGTTCGTTTAAACATAAACTGTAAAAAAAACTCTTGATTAATTTGTATAGTGGCATATTTCCCATCACATTTATCATATATATTTTCAGAATATGACCCTTTTTATATAATTAATTCAAGCGTCCAATTTTGAGCCTAAGTTCATCCAGGTAATCCAAGCCATTTAATAAATAAAAAAGGTAAAACTTCGAAAGTTTAATTTTCATTTCACATGGTAGATTGAAAATACCTTGAACATATGTTACTGTTGACAAAATTTTAAGTGCATATTCTCAACAACACCAACTTTTGGCATTCCAATTCTAAATTCTAAGTGATAATCACACAACCCTTCACCTCAGACCATGGTACGTAAACGCTGCAGTCAATTTTACAGGGCTTAGTTTGTACAACCCCCCGGCGATCGGAACTGCATCATAAATTACGTGAATGGTTTCTATTGTCATCCATCTTCCAGAGCTGGGTTGTAACGCGTAAACTTTGGAGTAGATAAGTATAACCGAGTCTGAAATAAAATAGAAGTTTGCCGGGTAGGAAAGCAGGCGCGTTTTTCGTAGGTGGCTCCTCCGGCGGCTTAAAAAGGCCGACTTTGTAGATACAACTCTGGGAAAGAGCACTTGTTAAAGAAAGTTTCGTAAGGCGTCAAAGCAAAAATATAAATAAAAGTAGTCCCAATTCAATAGCACAATTTGTTTTCAAATCACGTTGTCCGTTAATACGAAAAATGCCATCCTGCCGGAATGGCAGGTTTTAGGTTAACCAAGTATAATTAGCTCATCACATATAATATAAATATCTCAATGAGAAAAAATTATTTGCCCGTTATATTCTCATTATGAGTTTTGTTCCATTTTTTATCATACAGCATTTACCTATGGGTACTGATTATATTCTTTGATTATGAAATTATTTTATCCTTTCAAAATATTGGTTGATTTGAATATACAATTTCAATAATGATTTAATTATCGTTTAAAACTTTCGTAGAATAACAAGCACGGGTATAATATTAATACCCCAGTTGTTTACTTATTTTTAGCTATGCATATGGTATGAAAGGGTATAATCAGTATGACTGTATTTATTAGCGTGAATGAGGGCCTGCTATCGAGTCCCAGAAACCTGCCAAACTAAGGTTAGACAAAATTTCAATGCGTTGCTGAACATTCACAACCTGTCGAGGGGCTAAATACGACTAAGAATCAAGTCCCAAAAGTTCCATCAGAAAGAACGCCAGGTGTCCTACGAGAGAGATATTTTTGTTCTTAAAAAAAAAAAAAGAACGCGAGATGGTGGCAATTGGCAAGAGAAATTACGATGATATTCTTGCGTTTAAACTGTCCAGATTTTTTTAATTTTTATTGCCGTAAAATTAATACAATAAGAAATAATATATGTCATACATTATGAGATTTCCTCTTGAGATTTGCTGGTTGTTGAATCTGTAAATTAATCGTTTTCGTTTTTTATCTTCATATCTTAGCTATTTTGGTTTGTGATACCTCAGGCGTACGGCCTCTTGTCATGTATGAAGTACATAATATCAGACAGCCAAGCGTTAGCGAGTAATAAAACTCACATCCAAAATAGTTAAATAAATAAACTGTTCAGATGAAATCTGCGTAGCTAAATAGTAGTTTCACCCAGTGTTTTTGGAATACCAAATCCATGTCTCGTAGTTAAATAATCATCACCACATTCATTATAGGCATCCATCTTGATATCACCTTCACAACATTGTTATAACCAACGTTATTTGAGGGATATTCAATAAGTAGGAACAAACCGCCTCATGTTATTTTGTATGAAAAGATTCGCTCATTGGAAACATAACCCCGGGAAGACCCGGGACATTAGATGGCCTTTGTAAAAGAAAAACCAAGTTAGTTGAAATAAACATAATAAATAGGAAAAGTATAATAAGCCAGAAGAAATACTTAGGGAAATCCCCTTTCCTCCTTGTATTTTCATCCCCATCTTGATAAGTATATATCAAATTTATTTATCAATTATTGAAAAATTATTCAGGAAAGTGTTTATTGTAGATCTGTCGAATTCACCGCGGTTAACACACAAAATGAAATACAAGAGAGATTCGTAAAATAATCAGTAAAATAACGCAAATGTTCGTCTCTGAAGACGGTAAAAGCCAAAACAAACTACCAGCCCAAAGCAGACACACCGAATGATCAGAAAAAGCAAAATTAATAACTTGATTTATAATTTTTTGTCTCAACCACACTTTACGTAAAAATCATAAATCAATATAAATAATAACTTTGGTTAATTAGAACCAACTAAAAATATATAGAAAATTTAATATCCTGGTTTAGTTCTGAACTAGATACTGCAGTTACCTCACTGACCGATCCTTCCAAGTCATCGAAGGCCATTTCTTCTCTGCATATTTCCCTATTCTCAGGGTAGCGTTCTGGCTTCCACACTATACCAGGTGTTCACAGCTGACATGCCATCTCATCCCGAAACCAGCACATTCACAATTGCAGATGATACAGCAACTCTCTCTAATCTGACCTTGTAATTTCCACTCGAAACCTCTAACACCTCATATTACTAGTCTTTGGGTAAAAAGAAAAGGATCAAATTTAACATAGATAAATCCACCCACATTACCTTCACCCTCCGTAGACAGCTCTCCCTTGATTTGTTAAATAATATTCCACTCTTAACTGCGAACAAGCTTCGGCACCTCGGACTGAACATACGACAAACGCCTGATCGTCACACACGACTGAAACGTCAGGAGGTTATGACACGATATAGACCTCTTGCATGACTTTTTGACAAACGTTCTAATTTACTTCTCAAAAATAAAAAGATGTTTTACAACACCATAGTTAAGCCTTTATGGACTTAAGGACTTGAACTGAGGAGTTCAGCCAAACATTCCAACATCCACGGTATTCAAACTGCCCAGTCCTTAATACTACTAAAAATTCTAGATGCTCCATTTTATGTATCGCACTTAACCACTACAGACTTACATATACCTTTTGTTCAAGATGAAATCAGTCTCAAAACTACCTTTACTCATGGGTATTGAGACCCGTGAGGATCTTTAACGTCCGGACTTATTCAGACGCCCAGAGTTCTCAAAGAGAACACCTGGAAGATTTTACATGCATGGACTTGTCACATCTCGTGGCTAGCAAGATGGTGCAATGCTACCAAGTTCAGAAATGCTCTGAAAAGGGCATATCCATACATATGCCTTGAAAAAGGCACTTTTGTGGTTTCCGGTTTTCAGTCTTGACTTTCAACACCCTCGGAGAGATAGAGAAGGCACTCTAGCCGAGCTCCGATTGGCCGGTACCCTCCAGCTATGGTACAATTTGTTTATAAACCACGACCACCACGAGTCCAACCTCAATTAGTAGAGCCGCTTGGATACTCTACTCCCGTGATTCGGTATTATTTTTAAGGTGGGACTGATCGCCCACCCGGGGGTTCATACGAACCCCCTACTGATGCACCCGTTGCCTGCGGGGTGCGGGTTCAGTAACCCAGGAAGCCTCTGCCAAAGCAGTGGGGGGAGTGCTAGGAAAAAGGAAAGGGGTAGGAAGGAAAGGGAAGGTAATAGGGAATTTTGGTTACCTCCAAGCACCAGGGTTGATAGTCGGACTTTGCCTGAGCCAACGACGAGTCGTTCTCGTTACCGTAAATTTCATAAACACCTCCCAACTACCGTAAATCAGCACATGATAAACCTCGCATCCCGACGAATCATTTCAAACCCTCCTCGCCGACTGAAGAGACAATGGCCGCGAGATAATCCTAGGAAGTGATGATAATGATAGTGAAAGTGATTATGACTCAAGTATCAATGAAACTGACAATATTTTAGTAACATTAGAGTAATACTTTATTATTTCATTCCATTGCCTCCGTCAGCCTGTTTCGTCGGTCTTGGATTCTTTTACCTTTCTCCACCAGCAAACACCTTGTATCTTCCCTTGTACTTCCCTTCTTCGATTATAGCTGTTTGGCATACGGTGGACTCTCGGAGGGGGAGAACGCGAGTTTGAAGCGTATTATGAATTGTTGCGTAAGATTTGTGTACGGCACTCTACGGGGATCCCGGGTGTCGGGGTTGTATTCCCAACTTTCCTGGCTATTCCCCTCCTTCCGGGCACAGTATTTCCTAGGTTGCTTTCTTTTCCAGTCCATCAACACTCGTCGTCCTCCTTACATCATCCAATCCCTCCAATTCAACTCCTCACATCTCACTCGTAAAACCCGCTCATCCCCAATCGACCTTATCCTACTGCAACATACAACCCATAACTTCGAAAGATCCTTTCTGATCCGAGCCCTAAACTCTGGAACTCCCTTCCCCTTTCTATTCGTCGCTCTACGCTGCCTCCTTTTCCTCCTTTAAATCCCACCTGTATAATCACCTCCTCTCCCTCCAAGCAGAGACCTCACGTTAACATTTGTTATTTTTGTTTAACATTCTCGTAATTTTTTCTTCTGTCCTGCCTTATTGGTATACATTGTGCCAAGATTTATATCTTTTTTTTTTACTTTTAACTTCATAGAAGGAACTTCCTTTATTTATTTCATGTAAATTATTCTTAGGGGACACCAGTCCCAAAATAAAGTTATTTTTCTTCTTCCTAATACCAATGGGTGTTTTCCCCACTGTTGGTTTTAATTTTGTATATATTACCTTGCTCAATGTTACTTGTACTAGTTTGAAAGTAGTACTAATGTACTTCAAATTATAAAAAAAAAGATATATTTAGATATATTTAAATTAGATCAGTAGATACAATATTTTTTTTAATAATGGGGCAGGAGGGCATGATTCTCGCAACTTAATTGAAAAATTAACTTGCTTTAAAATAAAAACTTAATGATGAATTTTTATGATTTTTTTGTTAACAGAGAGAAGTAATATCAATTCACCTTGGACAGGCTGGTGTCCAACTTGGCAATATTGGCTGGGAACTGTACTGTCTTGAACACAATTTGTTAGAAAATGGCTATCTGTCACAAGCTCAAGCACCGATGGACCAGCAGCTTCGCTGTTCAGGCGAGGGGAAGAACTGTATCGTAGAAGGATTCAGATCGTTTTTCTACGAAAATACTTCAGGATCGTATTCTCCAAGAGCTATTTTTGTCGATCTTGACCCGACGGTCATCGGTAGAAAAAGTCCGATTATGTTGAATACATACTATTATTAATTTTTGTTTTACAGATGATATAAGAAGTGGCAGGTTCAAGAACCTCTACAGTCCCAATAATTTGATTTCTGGGAAGGAAGATGCGGCGAATAATTTTGCCCGAGGCTACCTCACCTCAGGAAGAGCGATTTTAGAATCTGTCATGTCGCCGATCTATAAATTGGCAGAATCTTGCGACAGGCTGCAAGGTTTTATGCTGTATCATTCTTTTGGTGGCGGAACCGGATCTGGACTACATGCTTTGGTAACTAAAGCCCTGACAAAAGAATTTCAAAAATTAACTAAACTGGAAATAGCCGTTTTTCCATCGCCTAAGGTATTCAAATAGTTTTAAAATTATTACGTTGTGGATTTAAACAATTAAATTTTCTTCATAGATGTCGACGGCTGTAGTCGAACCTTACAACGCTGTTTTAGCTACAGATGCAACATTAGAAGAAGCTGAATGTGTTTTTCTTGCTGATAACGAGGCCATGTATAGTATTTGTCAAAAGAAAATGGACATAGATAGTCCTTCCTATACGAATTTAAATAGAATACTGGCTCAAGCTGTCAGCTCGATTACGAGCAGCGTGAGGTTCAAGGGAAGTCTGAACGCAGATTTTATGGATTTTCAGACCAATTTGGTTCCATATCCGCGAATCCATTTTCCAGTGATGAGCTATGCTCCGATTAACAGCGTACAAACGCACGGCCACGAATCTCTGAGCGTCGCCGATATAACCAACAAATGTTTCGACACGTCGAGTCGTATGCTGCAATGCGAAAACGAAGCGGGAAGGTACATGTCCTGTTGTCTCCTCTACAGAGGAGACGTCGCCCCAAAAGACGTCAACGCGGCTGTATCTGCGATAAAGGAAAAGAAAAGTATCAAGTTTGTCCAGTGGTCGCCGACAGGATTCAAAATCGGGATCAACGACTCTCCACCTGCCGTCGTGCCCGACGGAGACTTAGCCAGAAGCACCAGGGCCGTCTGCATGCTCTGCAATACCACCGCGGTCAAAGAAGCTTGGACCAATTTGAACATTAAATATCACTTGATGCTTGACAAAAAGGCCTTCTTCCACTGGTACCTAGGCGAAGGGTTAGAAGCAAACCACTTTTACGATGCCCAAGAAAATCTTTTAACACTAGAAGAGGAGTACGAGTTAATGAATAAAGTCAATTAACATTCGTGTTTAAAGACAGCTAAAAGAAAGCATGTGGAAGAATACATTGGCATTAACATATTGTTTTTCTTACACTAAGCCTAAACGGGCAGTCATGCTTATTTTAGATCGGTTCTTTTCACTTCTAATACAAATATATTTAAAAAATGATTTTATTTAGCAACCTATTATATTTGTACAGGATAATTTCAGTGTAAATGTTTAGTTCTAAGTGCTATCAGCAGGACTTATTCACTAAGCAGTTTCGGAAGTGGAATCCATTTTAGTGAAAAAGGTAACCTTATACTGGACTCAGTCATGAACCTCATTACATAACCTACAATGGGGTCATCGTTGGATAAAACAATTTTATGTAGGCGAATTGTAGTTTGATGCTTATGATGTGGTGGTGATGATGGTTAGGTTACTTGAAAGCAAGAATTTTCTATTTCCCAAACACTGCAGTCATCTGGTTTATTGGTCAATCTGACTATCCCGGATCTTCTTAAAACTCTATGTTATGTCGATACGTAGCGGTTGCTTGAAATTTTAACATAATATGAGAGTAGTGTTTCTTCCTTATTGTATAACTTACAAATAGTTCTTCGTTAGGCATAACCATAATGCGGTGATAATTTCCAGAATGGTGCTTATAATGATCATGATAATAACAGGAAGCAAGAGTTTCTTTGTTGTACTTACTACTACTTCTTAGTTTAGTGTGTTTGGGCCTGCAAAAAAAAAATAGAATGTGAGAAAAATAGGAAAAAAGAAAAGAAAGGAAAACTTACTTGGCTTTTGTGAACTCTTGTTAAAGTAACGGAGAAGAACCACAGGCCGCTTCGTGAAGTTGGGGCCCAGTTGCGACGACGATGGTGACCTACAGGGTGGATGAAAAACGTGAAATTTTCGAAAATGTTGGAATAGATGAAAACATGGGGAAACTTAAGGTTCCAAGGATTTGGCATGCGAAAGGGCTAACTTAGGTGAGGTGAGCATTTTTGAGGTTAAGGACAGAGGTTGATCGTTCGAGATCGAGACGAGAACTGAAGGATGATTTAGGGTCGGAGCAGTACAGGAAAAAAAGGGGGCGAAGCCTGCTTGATTCTACCCTGGGCCCAAACTTTCAATCGACTCGATCCTTATATAAGAAGTATTAGGTCATGGACTGTCCTTGTTGCAGCACTTTCTTTTCCTTAGTTTTCTTTGTATCCAAGGTTATGTCTCTATTGAGCGGTTAATTCGCATTTGAAAATACCATGTGTAGTGGCTTTTACTCTCAGGAACTGGGAAGCAAGGTTGACTTCGGAATTCAAAATTTTAGCCAGGACATAAGAATTTTATTTAAACTAATTGTGTTTTTTTTACGACTGTTTAACGCTATAAATGGTCTCTGAATTTGGGGTTGTCTTTTAAGATAGGGGGGGCGAGCGAAGAAAAACAAGCCTGCCTAAGAAAAGGTGGTCACGTCGGGGTAACGTCCTCTTTTCTTCCTTTTTCTCCTCTTCTTTTCTCTCCTTTTCTTTTCTCTCCGATTCAGCAGTCAGCTTTTCGTCATCCACCATCCAGCAATCTCCAGGTTAGGAACCAGCCTTCTCCCTCTCTCCTCATTTTTTGTATATATCCTCTTTCCTCCACTCCCGGTGGATGTGGACTCTCTCATGGGCCGAACTGACCGGGGAATAGGCGACAGATTCGCGGTGTTTCCTCTCGGTCACCACACACGGCAGATTCTTCGTCCTTATTGCATAACCTACATCATTGTTGAATATACAAATGTTTTATCAAATGGCAGTGACCGGTAAATAGTCTTACCACTCCTCTTGATTTATCCCTTTCCAACTGTAGCAGTCAGTTTGTCATTATTTCTAAGGGTTTGTTTTAGCATAAGCATACTATATCTATCTTATTGTATCTAGCATCTTTAGGTTTACCCACTATCATTTCATCGTTTTTGGATCCATTTCGTGAAGGAGGATTTTATACTTGGGTTTTTTTATCCTAACAATAGGTTCAGAGCCAATAAATGGTCATGCCAATATTCCTATTGCCAGTGAGTCTGCCCTTTCGTTTCCCGTATTTCCTTTCTGTCCTGGAAGCCACGACATCATCAGGATGTATTGTTTCCCCAGGTTTTGAAGATTTTGATGCATTTACTGACCAATTTTGAATTAATTATTTTTACATGCTAATGCTTTAAAATACTATAGTTGCTTACTTGTCTTATAGGCTTTAATATGTTATAGTTGATGTTGGGAGAGGGGCTTGAAACCTGTTTCAAGGGGTATTCAATTAATTTTTTTTTTTTTTTTAATAGGTGGCAAATACTTTATATATAATTCAGAAATCGTGAGTCTGGAGTGATGTAGGTTTCAGAAAAACATTTTCTTTATCGTGCCAACGCTTCGATCTTTATTGAGATCATCTTCTGTGTAATTGTGCCATTCTTGCGTGTCGTGTTGAGAGTGCTGCCATGTTTTTCTGAAACCTACATCACACCAGACCGCATCTCACGATTTCTGAATAATTATCGATTAACGGTCACTAATCCCCACACACAGTATTTATACTTAATTGGTATTGAGAAAAAGAGGGAAATTGATAATACTTAAGAATCGAAATTAAATATTTACAATTTATTTACACAAAGAAAAAAATAAATGAAATGTCCTCAATTATTTAAACTCACTAATTTTCGTGGTCCGCTTGACCAATTAAATCATTACAATTAATGAAGGTTTTAAGTTGAGATGAAAAAAATCTAATGGCATGAGCGGGATTCGAACCCACGATCTACGGCTAGATACGCCGCTGCTCCACCGATCGAGGTCACGATAGCTCAAGTGGTGGAGTAGCGTCGTATCTAGCCGAAGATCGTGGGTTCGAATCCCGCTCGTGCCATTAGCTTTTTTTCATCTCAACTAAAAACCTTCATTAATTTTCCTCAAATATATTCAAATTCCTAGTTCAACCTTACTGGCCAGGATTTTAGAAAAAAAAAGACGAAATGAAAAAAGGACTTGGCTTGATGACGACTCGCTTTTCCAAACAATCAAAATAATCGGTGTTGAGCTGGAGGTTACTGCTTGGTTCGACACACAGAAGGTGCCAGTTGAGCCGGATGACGATACAGTTGACGTAGTAGTCCGTGAAGCCGGTTATGTGACGACACGACACGATGACGAAATCGATGGTGAATATCGATCCAAATCGAGTTTAGGTTCGATAATCGATTGTGTAGGCGGTGCGTCTTATGCTGGCCGTGCAAAGGCCGAAGCTACCGGCGTTATCGCTTGCCAAAATAAAAACAATACCCTCAGCGATTTAAACAGGCCTCCGGAAACGAACCTCGGTCGGCCGAAAACAACAAATAAAAATGAAGCTTCTTGGGCCCAACAGTTGAATATAACCGTGTGGTGTTGATAAAATATAATTTGATGTTTACAATGGATGTGGTGATGGTAAGGATGAAGAGGACACTAGGGAGCAGAGGTTTGGTGTTTCCAAAACGTTACAGCTTTCTGGGTTATTGTACTTTTCCTATTTACTTTATAGGCATTTGCTTTAAATTTGAAAATTCAAATGGCCGGATGGGATCCTCCTCATTGCATAACCTACAAATGGTGGTTATCATTGAATATGCTGATGTTAGGAAGATGTTTAATCAGATTTCAGTGATCAGCATATTGTTATATCAGTTCACTGAGTTTAGCCCTGTTTGTATTGCATATTGGACTGGATGCATTCCGTGATGAAGGGTTCTTGCACGGAATATGAGGAAATCAGTATAGTCAGGGTATTCAATTTTTGGTTGGTATGGACTGACTAGTAGAAAGGACATAAATGGGCTAACTTAGATGTGAATAAAAGGTTTATCATATGGCTTTAATAAAATATTAATTTTTTCGAAACCTATTAGACGACTCAGAGAAAGTAACGTCAAAATATTATTTTTATTGTGTTGAATTGTTAAGTCATTAACTAGTTACAATGCGAATTCGTCGATTGTTCAAACCACACAACAGATTTGTCCCCGTGACAATTTCTGCGCTATTTAAAAAGATCAGTAATCAAGCAAAAGCTTGTTTTGCCGTCACAGATACATATTAGGGCTGAATTGATCATTCAAAGGATAGCAAATGATACTTCTAATGTGATTAGCTCAGAAGCTTCAAACGTTTTTCAACCAAAGGCAATAATGACTGATTCGCGGGAATCGATGGGATGAGGGGGAATTAAATAAAAGAGATTGCCCGATCACCGTAATGCTATCTCCATCTGTTTGATTGGCCACAAAGACTCCACATTCGTTCGACCCGGTTAAGCCCGACAAGCTTTAGACCCGTTTTTTTTCTGTTTCCTTTTTTTCCTTCCTTTTGGAGCCGGTATGAATTACGGGACCAATTCATGAGGGGATCGTTTGGTCCCGATTGAATTGTGGCGGTTCAAAAGCTGACTATAAGTCAAATGTGGAAGCGCACTGCAGAGGAACCACTGCCTTATCGATCTAAAGCTCCCATCGTACTTTTATTATTACACTTTACTGTCACGGGGGGAGGGCAAAACTGGAGAAATGATAGCAAAGGAAAATTATGCATTTGAAATAATGAATATCATAAATTCAATTTTAGCTAAAAAAAACTGACCTACTTTTTCTCCTTCATCGCTTCTCTTTTTTATAAGTTTTCTCGTATTGCTTGAGCGCTTATTCGTAATGACACATTATTGTCATAAATCTATATTAGGGATATAAATTGATAAAAAAACAAAAATATATATTGAATATATCACCAGACCGCATCTCACGATTTCTTAATATTGTAATTATTGAATATACCATTGCTTTCTTTTCGTCAATCAATTCAATGTTATTTTACAGGTGTAGACCCTAACGTCTATTTATTAAAAAATCAAAAAATGTTTTTTTTTTTACTTAGTCGATATTTTGGTCCTATTTTCGTACCTTCGTCAGGCTGAGGTAATAATTTTCTTTTTGATGCCAGATAGTCGACCGATTTTTCATTTCCTATTTTTTTAATGCCATTAATCGGGGATAGGGATAGGGAAGGGATAAGATGG